GTGAAACACTTTCCTTGGAGGCTTCCCAAGCCTTGTTCCCGCTGGGAGAGATGGAGGGGCTGGAGGGGCCGGTTTGGGTATAAGTGCCTTTTTCTGTAGCTGATATCCAACAGTGCAAAGAAAAACGTAGGAGATATTCTGAGGACCCTGATAAATTTGCAGAAGGGTTTCACACCCTATCCTTATCTTTCCATCTGTCCTGGAGAAATATCAGTTCCTTTTGGCCAGCTGTTTCACCCTCACAGAAAAAGAAAGAATACTTATTGCTGATTGTAGGGAGACAGATGTGACCCTTGGGATTGTCAGCTATGGACTGATACTGTCCCTGAAAATGAGCCTAACTGTGACTACCAACACTCTGGGGATGGGGGCAGAGGTGAAGGAAAGCTAACATGGTGGAGGCAACCCTCATGGGCATGAAATCAGGAATGCTAAACCCATTAATTATGATGAGGTTAGAGGAATTACTCAGGTAGAAGTCCTGTATCATCTTAGGACAGGCTGCAGGAAGCCTTTAGAAAATATATCAGTGTCAATCCCTGCTCTAGAGAGGGGCCACTCCCTCTAGGCCACCATTTTATTACTCAGTCCACCCCAGACTTCAGGTGGAAGCTTCAGAAGGTACAACTTGAACCTCAGACTAATAAAATCCATTTGCTGGACACTGCTTTTCTGATCTATAATAACTGTAACCTGGAAAAGAAAAAGAAAAGACAGAGTAAGGAAAGGAAGCAGGACAAAGTTATGGCTGCCATGTCTCATGATTGGGAATGCCCTCCCTTGCAAGGCACCCTAACGTGAGAGAGGAGGCAATCCCAAAGTCAACCTATTACTAATGCAAGAATCCTCGGCATTTTGCCATGGATTGCCTGGTGCCCCCCACCCCCACCCCGAGCCCTTGTCAAAACTGCTCTGAAAGAAGAGTTTTGGCACTGGAGGGTTGACTGTCCCCACTCTCAGAGAAGGACCCAGGCAGTTAAGACTCTGGCTGCACTGGCAGAAGCAGAGCAGAACTGAGGGTGCCAGAAGTGCCCTCAGCAGCCTCCGCCTAAGATCAGCACATGGGTAAGTAAATTCACTTCCTATTGGATATGGGGCAACTTACTCTGTTCTTCCTACCTATGTGGGAAAGCCTTTCTCCCTGATGATGTAATGAAGGTTGATGGGAAAAAATAGGGTTAGAAATTCCACCCACCTCTTGCCTTATTATTTTGAGATCCAAGTCTTCATGTACAGATTTCTTGGAATTTCTTTTTTCTGCAGTACTTGGGTTTGAACTCAGGGCCTCATGCTTTCTAGGCAGGTGCTCTATCACTTCAGCCACTCCACCAACATGCATAGATTTCTTAGAGTCCCTGGATGTCATGGTTTACTCTTGGGACAGGATATAATAGGAAAACTGAGCATGGTGCTGCTAATGGGACTAGAGAAACAGATGATGCCTGTAGAACCCATAAAAAGGGCCTCACTGAGGCCCTGTTCCTAAGAACTCCCAATTTGGAAAAACCTTGTATGGTATTCTGCCACCAAAAGGGTACTAACTGTAGGGTACTAACTCAGAACCTAGGGATGGAACCTTGTCCAGTTGCCTATCATTCTTTTTTTATTCATTTATTCATATGTGCATACATTGTTTGGGTCATGTCTCCCCGCCCCAACCCCCTCCCTGTCCCTCATTCTAAGAGGTTGGAAGGAGTTGCCCTGGGTTTGCCACGATGTCTGAGGGCAATACTTGCCATTACCTTCCTAGTACAGGAGGCCACTACTCTGGGTCAGCAGCTAGAAGTTCTTACCTTACCACCCATTAGGTAAGAGCCACCTTGGAACTAAAAAGTCACTTGGGGATGTCCAGGGAGAGATTAACTAAATACCAAGCCAACCTTCTAGAGTTCCCAGAAGTGAAGATAAACATCCTAAATCCTGCATCTTTGCTGCCCTGTGAGCTAATGACTGAGCATACTTGTAAGCATGTGATCATACAAACTTATGCACAGAAACCAGACCTATCAGATAAGCCACTCCTTGAAACCGAGGCTGAATGGTTTACTGATGGAATTAGTTTTCTGCTAAATGAGGAGAGAAAGGCAGGGTATACAGTGGTGAGCCAAGAGAAATCATTGAACCTCAGCCTTTGCCAGCTGACTGGTTCTTCAGCCCAAAAAGTAAAACTGATAGTCTTCACTACAGCCTTAACTTTGGGGAAAGAAAAACAGACTTAACATCTATACTGCTTCAAAATATGCCTTCCTGAATGTTCCTCAATATATTAAAGGCTATATATGACAAACCCATACCACCATTATATACTAAATGGAGAACAACTGAAACCATTCCTGCTGAAGTCAGAACGAGATAGGATGCCCTCTCTCCCCACTCTTACTCAATAGTTTTGGAATTCTGATTATATAGGCATAGGCAACAACTTCCTAAATAGAATTCTAATGGCTTAGCAACTAAGAGAAAAATAAATGAATTAAAAAGCTTCTGCAGAGCAAAAGAAATAGTCACTAGACTCAAGAAATCAGGGAAATAATCCCATTTGCAATAACCTGAAAAACTCTAATGAAGTACCTTGGAATCAGTTAAAAAAGGAAACCAAAGACCTTGTCAAGGGAAACTATAAACCACTGAAGAGAGAAATCGAAGAAGACATCAGAAGATAGAACGCTCTCCCATGCTCATGGATTGGCAGAATCAACCTTGTGAAAATGGCTATACTCCAAAAGCAATCTACATGTTCAATGCAATCCCTATCAAAATTCCAATGACATTCTTCAGAGTAGAAAAATCGATCCTAAAATACATATGGAATTGTTGATTCCATTGTTAATGCCCTTGCTGTTTGTACTAAAATGGAAAAAATGAATGTTCTCCAATCTCTAGACTCCAAGTTTGTTTCCCTGGTAAACTCTTGCTGTTTGTGTTCGCTGAGTCTCATTCTTTTGTTTCCTTGTCCCTTGTGAACACTAGTGAGTTTGAGGCCTCTTGTGAGTTTTCAAGGGTTCTTTAGTATTTATATATTTTTAGGAGTCAATATTGGGGTTTGAATTAGGGCCTTGCACTTGCCAGCCAGGGACCCTAGCACTTGAGCCATGCCCCCAGCACTATTTGCTGTTTTTGAATAGTCTTGCTTTAGTTGTGGGCAGTACTGTTGGTTTGAACTCAGTGCTTTGGGCTTGTTAAGCAGGTGGTCTCCTGCTTCAGCCTCAACTCCAGGGGGTCTTACATTTTTGCCCATGCTGTCCCCTGGGTCCTTCTGTTTATGCTACCTTCTTAGCTGGGATGAGAGGCACAAGCCTTATTTGCGTAGAGAAATAATTTAATGCCTTTCAGAAGAACCGAACGGGAGCTTTGGTAATAGTCCATATTCCATAAGGGCGTCTACTGTGCCAACCCACGGAACAAGTGTTTCTCTCTTGTCCTATCCATCCATGCACTAGTTTTTGTGGATTTCTGGCTGGATGTCACACACAAAAGCCAAGAGGTGACCCACGACTTTATCCTTATTCTGCCAGAAGTAGTTCTGGAGGATGGTCATCTTCTCCTGGGTCACCATCTCCACCTTAGTGCTGCAACTGCCAGAGGATCCCAGGGCCACAACTTCCTGGCCTTGAGCTCTTTCTCCCCCTGCAGGCAGTACTGGTCAGTTTCAGCCTGTCTTCTTTAGCCTGCTTCAGCCTCTGGCTCTTTCACCTGTGGCCCTCGCACACCTTCTCAGCTGTCCACTTCTCAGCCTGCAGCAGCTGCTGGATCCCTTCCCACTGACTGGATGTGGCTCCAGAGACCCGGGGACAGGTAAGAGGTCTGAGGCAGTGCAGTGGCCACTCAGGTCAGCTGCCATGCCCAGCATTTCATTGGTTTAAATGGGGTCTCACTGACTTTTGCCTAGGCTGTCCTCAAACTGCAAACCTCTCCTATATCCACCTCCTGAGTAGCTAGGATTACAGATGTGAGCCACTGTGCCAGTACTGTACTTAAAAATCTACTGCTATAAAAATTTTAATTCAATACTTCCACGTTTGGTTCAGCCGTATAACCAACTGGCCTCAGCTTGTTTCAGTTTCTCATAACTATAAGACGGATTTAACTGGCTGAATGTAGATGTGATAAATTTACATTACCATACTGCTTTGTCTTACACTAAGTTTCAAATACAGCAATACTGAATTTTTGTTTTCTTTGAAAAACAAAAATTACTAATGGTAAAACAATTGACTTATAGTATTTACTACACTGTCTACAGTCTTCAAGTTCATGGATAATGTAAGAGTAACTGTTAAAAAGTGAAGTAAGGCTGGGCATGGTGGCGAGTGCTATAATCCCAGCACTCAAAGGCTGAGGCAGGAAAATCACAGTAACAGGCCACCCTGAGCTACATATCAAGTTCCAGGGTAGCCTACGCTATGAGATCATGTCCCAGAAAATCAAAAAAAAAGAAATAGAAATGTGATAAATATTTCATCTGAGCCATTGGTAAGTAAGTTTAAATACTAAAACGTTTGCTAAGTATGAGTTCAAGTCTTCGTGCCCACGGACTAGGGGAAGAGGGAAAGAAAAGAGTAAGAGGCGAGTAATATCGAAATACAACAAATCTGTGCAGGAACAAGACACAATGAAATGCACTGAAAACTTTGGAACAACATGGGGTAGGGAGAAAGGGTAAGGAAGAGTAATAGAGGGGGTTAGGCTGATCAAAGTACAATATATTTACAGGTAAAATACCAAGGCAAAACTCCATTGAGACTGGGTGCCGGTGGCCCACGCCTGGAATCCTACCAAGTCAGGAGGCAGAGATCAGGAGGATCGCCATTCAAAGCCAGTCTGGGGAAATAGTTTGTGAGACGCTATCTTGAAAACACGCATCACAGAAAATGGGCTGGTGGAGTGGCTCAAGGTGTAGGCCACTGAGTTCAAATCCCAAGACCACACACACGCACACACACACACAAACTCCATTGAACAATGGACACTTAAACAATGAAGGACAGGACTATAAAACAGATCGTGTTAAGGGGAGGGCATGAGTGGGAGGGGGAAGGTGAAATGAAGAGGGTAGAGGAGGGAGAATATGGTTGATGTATTTTCTATACATGAATAAATATGGAACGTTAAAACCTGTCAGAGTCATTTCAAGAAGAGGAGGGAGAGGAGGGAGAACAATGGAGGGGATGAACCAAACTGATATGCATATATCGACACGTCACAACAGAACCCCCGTGCAACTATTAGATACTAATAAAAACATTTAAAAAGCAGAGTCAGGTGTGGTGATGCACACCTGTAATTCCATGGTACTACAAACCAGAAAAAAAGAAAGGAAAGAAAATAGAAGGCTTAGAAGTCCATGTAAGCCCCTCCCCAGGTGTCCTCACCCTCCAACACCGCACTGAGTTTTTTATGATTCCTGTGCTATTCATATTTATACATGTGTGTGTACGCGCCCACATCTGTTGGTATTGATGATGCTTAGTTTTGCTTGTGGTGGAACTTTATAGGAAGGTATTTTGGGGTTTTTCTCTGATTTGTCTTTTTTGGCACTCAACATCATGTTGGGAAGACTCATTTCTGTTCACGCCAGTAGTTCATGAGCACTGCACACGGCAGGTCATTGCATATGCAATTTACTAATCACTGTCCCAGTGGGTTTTTGGCTGTTCCCAGGAATTTTGGTTTTCTTTTTCCTAAATTACAAAGTAACTTTGGGGTTCCTTACCCCTGTTCCTTGAGCATAGCTCTAGGGTATACACTGAGAAGCAGAGCACTGAAAGGAAGAGAATAAACTTGGTTACCATTTGTCACAGCAGCTGAGGAATTTACACCCCAGTGAACAATGCTGAGACCCAGTTGAATCACAGGACAATGATTTTTGATTTTCATGTTGGAGACAGAACCCAGGGCCTTCTCACGCTGAGCCCACGCTCTGCCACTGAGTACATCCCTAGTCCTAATTTGACTTTCTTTCCTGAGAAAGGTTTTGCCATACAGAATAGACTGGTCTTTAACTCTCCATCCTCCTGCCTTCACTTCCTGAGTGCTGGCATTACAGGCTTCCACCACCACATCCAGCCTTGCTCATTTCAAATTTGTGTTTATCTCATGAGAATGAACTAGTTTGTAATTATGCATTTTTGTTTTGTTTTGGGATAGGATCTTGCTATAAAACTGGCCTCAAATTCCTGGTCTTTCTGCCTCATCCTGCCAAGTGCTGGAATTACAGATGTACACCACCAGACCCTATTATAATTATGCCTTTAATTTGCATTTTTAATGATTATGAAGTTAACAATGAGTTTTTCAGGATATTGGACTATTTCCTCTTCTGGGAAATAAACTGTCTGTTCATATTAACAGGGATAAGTTTTGTCGTTTAGAAGCAAGTATATTCTAGACTCTGTTCTTCACTAGTTATATGTGTGGCACACAATTCCGTTCTCAGTTTGTAGCCTTTTTCCTTGCACTGTGGTTGTGTGTTTACCTCAACAATGTTTATTCTACAGAATTTCTAGCATGTGAGTAGGTTAACTAAGATGATAGACTCCAGTGTAGCAGCACCCATCATCACTTCACTACAACAAAACCCATGACTCATTCTGACCCTTCCACCACGCCCTCACCTATTCTTTCCTCCCATGCTTGGTTTTCTTTTTTTTTTTTTTTTTTGCAGTCCTGGGACTTGAACTCAGGGCCTACACCTTGAGCCATGAGTCAGCCTTTTTTGCGATGGGTTTTTTGAGGAAGGGTCTTGAGCACTATTTGCCCAGGCTGGGTTTGAACCATGAGTCTCCTGATCTGTGCCTCCTGAGTAGCTAGGATTACAGGTGTGAGCCCCCGGTGCCTGGCAGTTTTCTTTAACTTTTTGATACAAAGTCTTCCTATGTTGCTCAGTCTGCCCTCCAACTCCTGGGCTCAAGCCATCTTCCTGCCTCAGCTTTGTCTCCCAAGTCACTAGAACTATACATGTCCAGCTCTCATGTTTTTTTTTAAACTGTAAACATCATGTTTTCATATGTAAATATTTGAAAGGATATGCCTCCTGTCTGGATGCCTTCCTTACCTCCCATGGGCACAAACACCCCATGCCAGCTGCCCAACCTCCAAAAGGCCCTCCTGTCCCTCTGCGGCTCCAACGCTGGTGCTGGAGAACCATCCCATGGGAGCCTTCATACCCTGCCCCTCCCACTGTGGGCCTCATGGTTCTCACCTCCACCTCCAATGTGGTGACCTTACCTTACTTCTTCACACCTAACTTTTCAGGACAGACGCTTCTTCATTTATGATGGGGTTGTCTTGATAAACCCAATGCAAGGTGAAAATATGTGAGTCAAAAATGCATTTAAACACCATAGCCTACCTTACACATGATCAAAACATATTTGCCTACAGTTGGGGAATTACTAACAGAGAATAAACTACTGAGTTTTTTGGAAGTTACTGGGATTTGAACTTAGGGCCTCACATTTGCTAGGCATGTGCTTTACCACTTGAGCCACTCAATTACTCCTTTTGTTGTGTGTTGGGTGTTTGTTAGATAGGGTCTTGCTTTTTGCCTGGGCTGGCCTCAAACTTGGATCCTCCTGATCTCTGAGTACCTAGGTTTGCAGGCGTTAGCCACTGGTGCTGGGCAAAAGTAATGACTTTTTGTGTAACTTACTGTGTAACTTAATGATGGGATGTGAAAATACAAAACAATTTCCAGTTAAATGCTAGCAACACAGCATACTGGAGAGTATGAGATGCTGCCCTCTGGATCCTGGTGCTGACTAGGAGCTGTGGCTCATTGTGGCTGCCTAGCATTAGAGAGAAGATCTCTAATTTTCCACATTCCAGGAAAAGATCCCAATTCAAAATGCCAAGTGTGTTTTCCACTGAATGTACATTGCTTTGGCACCATTTTAAACCTGGAAAATCATCAGCTGAATATTGTAAGTTGGCAACTGTTTGTCATGAATTGTTCTCTGCCACCTGGAATGGATGGACAACCTGCTGCTACATGCAATGTTTCCCAGTTCTGGAATACACAGAAAGATTCTTCACTCACAGGTCTGGCCCCTCAGTCAGATGGCTAGGACACCTGGGCGCTGGCTAGACATCTCTCTTCCTCTTGACACAGCCAGTTTAAACTTCCTTACAGTGTGATGGTCTCAGGTCCAAACTCCTGGGCTTCCACATGTCAGGTCAGACTACTCACTTCTATTATGGCAAATAAAGAGATGGTAATGTTTATTAAGGGCAGAGAAAGATTTATTACTCAGCCTGGGTAGTACTGTGGAAATGGAATTTATTACTCAGCCAGGGATATACCATAGGAATAGGCAAAGTAAGCACTCATCCCATTGTTAGCCATCTTTGGGGTACAGACATGCATTTTGGCTTTAAATAGCTACAGAGTTGGGCAGGGTTTGAAAGGTATGCACAGTTAAACAGTCACACTTACAGGTGTTGATCTGGTTGGATGTTGTCTCAGTCCTTGCTCTTAAAGGGTCCTGGAGAAGTTGTTACTGCCGCCAACACTTGAGGGGAGCAATCTGGTGCCCAAAAAGTGCTTACTCCTGCTCCACAGTGCAGCCTCATTGTTATGGGTATCTGTCCTCATTTGGAAAGGTGGTCTGTGCTCCAAGGCTCCACTGTCATTAGGGATCGTTTCAGTCCCTTCTCACAAAGATGCTACTGATCATTCCCATCCTTCCTTGATTCCAAGGTGACTGCAGGAGAGAATAACTCAGAGCAAAGGATAACAGGTACAAAACTGAATCAGAGATGCTAAGTCTTTCTCCTTTGTTCAGTTAATTTGTGTACCCAAGGAAGGAGTCAGTGCTTTTCAGCAAAAGCAAATGCTTTCACATTGCTTAAATTGTCCCCTTTGTTTGAACATTCCTCAATGTTGAGGGAACTAGAAGACCAAACCTACAAATTATGGCATATTCCTATGCCTTTATAGGAAACACACTTAAGAACATAATAGCAGAAAACTTCCAAAATATCAAGAACAAGATGCCCATCCAGGCACAGGAGGTCTCTAGAACAATAAGCTGACACAACCACTGAATGTCAGGGTTGTGGGGAAAGGGGAAGGGAGGGTAATAGAGCGGTTAGACAGATAAAAGTATTATAATTTACAGGTAAAATGCCAAGGTAAAACCCTTTTGAACAATGAACATACACTTAAACACTGAAGGACAGGCATGCAAAACAGGTGATGTTAGGGAGAGGGCACTAGTGGAAGGGGAAAGGGCAAATGAAGAGGATAAAGCAGGGTGAATATGGTCCATGAATTTCCTGTATGTGCATGAAGATGGAACACCAAAACAGGGTGAATTCAGTTTAAGAAGCCAGGAGGTGGTAGAGGGACAATAATGGTAAGGATGAACCTAACAGAGTACAAACTACTCATATGTGGAAATGTCACCACAAAATCCCCTGTATCACTTTACAAACTAACAAAATTGTTAAATCAAGACATACATGTGCAGGCCAGATTTCAAGTAGCAAGATTGCCCAAACATCAGGGTCTTTTTGTGTTGTTTTTTTGGTTTTTGGGTTTTTTTTTCCTGAATGTTACCTTTACAAATGGCAGGATGGACAAAAGTTTTATTGACCATTTTTGTATGTGGAAGGTTTAGATGTCATGCATTTGAAATAAAGAGAGCATGAGCTGGTCATTTCACATGTACACATTCACACTTTTCATTTTGAAAATGTTTGCATAATGGTTAGATAAAATTGAGACACGCACCTCTACATATTTCCAATTGCACGCGTATGAGACCAACCAGAGCAAACAGTCCAGAAAACCCCATCTCCAAATTAAGCAGAGCAAAATAAGCTGGAGGTTTGTCTAAGCAGTAGAGAGCCTGCTTTGCAAGCTCAAAACTCTGAGCTTAAACCCCACTCCCACCAAAAAAAATTTTAAAAAGAAAAAAAGACTTTTACATGAACAGATACTTAAATGAACTCTGCTTCAGTTAAAGTTTAGCTTCCTAAGTAGTCAAAAGCTTCACAAGATCAACAGGAAACACATGTGATTGTCTTGAGACAACACAAAACCTTCCTTTAAGCCAGTTTCTTGCAATCGTTACTAAGAATAGATCAATATTGAAAAGCCTTGTCATTACAGACTTAGAGAATCAGGTTTTAGTTTTACATCAGTATGCTAGATTTGAACCTCAGAAAATTCTTTAGGCGACTTTTAAATTATAGCCAACTAAATCACACATATAAACCTTTGATAAGCTTCCTCTTGTACACAGTTTGACGATCTACTTGTGTATACTTTACATAACTTTCCACACCTCCTGTTTTCTTGACTTAGCCCTCTGTTTTCATTTTGGAACAATTCTTTAGGACAAAAGTTACTTTACAAAATTCTTTCATCCAAAAGCACTGAGATATGTCTGGTATTTTTTTTCCTATTTGCTGATTTCTGTCTCTTTTTTTGTAATTTGAAGTATGAAATAATTTTTATAAATTTTTTAACTGACACAAAGTTGTTTCTTTTCCCCATCAAATAAAGCACTCTTAGTAGCCTTACATTTCAATAAAACCCAGGAAGAGAGGCAATATTAAACAACTTCTCGATACAATAGCAATTTACAAATATGCATTTGTTAATAGATCTAATTATAGATGAGAGTTGAATGCAAATAAATAAATACAGTTAGATAGATAAATAAAAACAACCTAGTAGTACTTGATAGGCAGCAGGTTCAGCAAGATTACAGAACACAATATCAATACAGAAAAATCAGGTGGATTTCTATACACTAGCTTAGTAGTCCAAAAATAACTAAGAAGACAGGGAAAGGGCATAGTCACATAGGGACACTTACAGTACACACCAATAATACAGTTTTAGAAATTTAAGTCCATCTCAGTGAAAGACTAAAACTACAAACATTTTTGAAAGAAATTAAGCTCTAAAAATAACAGAACCTTCTTCCATGTTCATGAACCATTAATTCTGTTAAGATGGCAATGCTCATCCTGTGACGGATTCAATGTAATCTTCCTCAAAATCCCATCTAACTTATTTGCAGGATTTGAAAAGCCAATTTTGAGATTCATATAGAAATTCAAGGAACCCAGAAAAGTCACCATCTTTACTGAGAAGTACAAAGATAGAAGACTCACACTTACTGATTTCCAAACTAAGTTCAATACATTAAGGGAAATCGCTCAAGGCCCAACCAAAAATCTAGCCCTCTTTCATTCCAGGATCAGAGGGGACGTGCACAAGCACACCACCCTAGACCCTGAGACACTGGAGGGTCTACCAGTTCTTCCCACGTTTTATCAGGCAATCCTCACCAGACAGACAAACTCCAAAATCTTCAACAGAGCCTCCCAAACTCACTTCTCAACCTAAGTAAAAATGGCTTCAAGGCCTTCAGATCTTCAACGAAGGAGGTACCAAGGGCTGAAAAGAGGTGACAGGCTGATTGTCTGTGGCAACTGCCAACTCCCTTTCACTCCAGGGAGCCCTCAGGCTCTGTACACTAGCCCTAGCCTTACTTGAGCTAATTCCAGGCAACCACAGGTTCTATCATAATTCAACTTAGACTGCTATAATAATGGCCAGCCTGGACATTTCAGTTCCAACTGCCAAAATCCATGTCCCCCACCAGATTCATGTCCATGCTTCAAACAGGAGTGCCACTGGAAATGGGACTGACTTCCTTTCCTTTTCCATGAGGAGAGGTCATTCCAAGCCCAGGAATCCCATGAACAGCCTATTCTTTGTGATTGGCAGATGCCTCTGACCCAGTTCCTGGACTATGAGGCATCAACAGATGGGGGAGACCTGTAACTCAATTGATGTGGTCCAGGGGCTCAACAGGCTCCTGTGTTCTCTACCTCTATCTCCTGTGAAGCCCTGAATGTGGCAGGAAATAAAATTATTTTTCTGATAGAGATGGCAGCTTCATAGTCTGTCCTAGTTACTGTTCCAGGACTCACTGTTCAATCCCTGATCCTCCTCACAGAAACAGATGGACAGCCCCAACAGGGTTGCTTCCTTGCTGCTTGTTTGCTCACTGGAGACCACTGTTTTCACTCATTATTCCCTGGCACTGCCTAAATTCCCCTGTCCTGCTCTTGATAGACATATCTAATCCTAGCTAGGACCAGCTTTGTGTCTAAACACATGTAGCACTGGGTCCACCTTTTTTATGGTAATGGGCATTGAACTCAGTGTCTTACACTTGCTATGCAATGCTCTACCATTTGAGCTACAACCCCAGTCGGTAGTGTCCACTCTTGACTGGCATTTCTGGCCCCATAACCACAAGTCACCCTGACCTTTGACCCTTTGTAACTTCACTAAATTCCCACTGAGGTCTGGGACACTATTCTCCCTGGACGTCTGTTTTCTTGACTCTAGTCAAATATTTCTGATAGACTTCAACCTCTCCCTCAAGTGCCCCTCAAATCTTCTAAAGCCAGAGGCCCAAAGAGGACTCTGGCTAAATTTTTATCAGCTGGCCTAAAACCCCTTGCAATTTCCCCTGCAACAGCCCCATCCTGGCAGTAAAAAAAAACCAAACCAAAACAAAACAAAATAAAAAAAAAAAAAAAAACGCAACAGTTGGCTCTTAAAGGATGGTACAAGATCTCAGGTCCCCAATGAGGCAGTTCTCCCCCCACCCTAATTGCCCCTAACCCATATACCCTACTAAGTCAAATCCCCACAGGGTCCCTGGTTACAGTCCTAAATTTAAAAGAAGACTTCTTTTGCATCCCTGTACACCAAGATTCCCCATTCTTGCTTCTCTCTCTCTCTCTCTCTCTCTCTCTCTCTCTCTCTCTCTCTCTCTCTCTTTCTCATAAACTCTTACAGTATGTAGATGATCTGCTCCTGTGTAGCCCCCCTCAAACATACCACACAACCTAATTTACCACATAACAAGGGATATAGGGTCACCCCTTCCAAGGGCCAAACATCAGTTTCACAAGTCACTAACCTGGGTCTCACCATTACCTGGGTGAGTAGCCATTGTTCATTGCAAGTGCCAGCACAGATCACAGATATCATCTCCCTTAACAACTCTCTGGCAGATGCCTAGTCAAGGCTGCCACCCGGGGAAATTCATCACCTGACACTCCTGGAAGGATTGCCCTTTAACCCATGCTCTTCTCACCTTCCCCAACTTTGACCCCCCAACACAAGGACTGAACACACCACTCTCACCCGGGCTCTGGAATACCTAGTTCTTTCACATCTCCATAATCTCTTTCACTCACTAAATCTGTTTCAAGCTCAACTAACTCAGCCACTTAGTCTTACTTTATCTGCTCCCGGGTGTCCCCCCGCCCCAGGCAAGTGTTAGGCCCCACCCTTCCCCACACACCAGGCACAAGGCAGTCTGCCAGGACTACTCTATGGCTGTCCTTCTGTCCTTCACCACATACCCCACACTTCTACCTCACTTCTCACAGAGGACATCTGGCTCACTCTCCACCTTTCCTGACAACAATGTAGACAATATGCTTGTTGAAAGCTTCACTTTGTAAACCTTCCTCTGACCTTCCAGCTCAGTCTCCAGCCATAAAGCCAAGGGATGAAGTCTGTATCTCCAATTCCTCAACACCACTAAAGCCAAAATGGCAAGGGCCACACCAGGTGATTTTGACTATGCCCACCATGGCCCAGGTTAATGGGCAACCACATTGGATTGACCAAACTCCACTAAAGGTACAACCCAGTCAG